GCTTTCTGTCTCTCTGTCTCTCTCTGTCTTTCTGGTGAGTGCACGCGCCCTATAGCAAAAACCTCTCCCTCCCAAAAAAAGAATGTACCCCGACAAAAGCCCAGTTTTCAATGGTACTGTTATTGACAAAACGATCTGGTACAGTAGCTTCATTCTACCTCTTGTCAGGTGGAATTGTGGAGAATGAAGGACTTTGGGGTGAATTGTACCCCCAAAAATGATCCGTGATAGTGAGCAGCTGAGCAGTGACTGGATCCATTCAGTGGCAATTCCAGAATTTCCGAACATGATTGTCTCATTGGGACGGCTGAAACTGGACTCGAGGGTATTTTCTTGCCATGCCAGTGTTTTCATTTGTCTTTTTTTTTGGAGAGGCTTTTGCTATAGGGCATGTGCGCTTGCCAGAAAGACAGAGAGAGACAGAGAGGCAGAAAGCGAGAAATCACCACCTCTCCGGAGGGATGGCCATGCCACAATTCCTTCTCCTCCATTCTCCTCTCGGAATCTTGGGCATGCACGCACACATGCCCAGTGTGAGTTTAAGCCACTGAGTCTGGGATTCCAACTACGGTTGACTACTTGGGAGTCCAGCGATATAGCCATTATGCTAACTACTGGTCCCAATTTGGATCCTATGTTTGAAGGCTGTTGCTGATGATGGGGAGGTTGTGGGAGGACTTAGGAGGAGCAGCTAAGGCACACCGCAAAGGCACCCGGAGAGTTGGATGGATTCCACCATAACCTGAGGCTGGTCATGGCCATGGCATTGGGCGGGGCATTCAGAAAACATATTAATCCTAGCAGGCCAGGGGCCAGGTGTTGGAGCAGCAATAATATAACTAGACTCTCATGGAAAATGTCCTAGGTTCATATCCTGGGCATGTGTGTGTGCATACTCCAGGCCTTCTGAGGCTGGAGGTGGATGGGAACAAGAACACCATGTTAGGGATATCTGCCTATATCTCACTTTTCACTCTCAAGGAGTAAATAAATAAACCTTAAAAAAATTCCATCAGGCCAGAAGAAACTCTTAATTACCTCTTTCGCAGCCTCTGACACATTCCAAAAATGGGAACAAGAGCCATATTTCATTTGGTACAAACACTGCCTCCATATTTTTGGTTTAGAAGGAGTTGTCCAGGAAGGCAGGAAGCAGGAAGAATTTGTATAGCAAATCAGGCCCCTGTGGGTAGGTCATTCAAGACTCACTATATGAAGGAAAAGGACTTTGGGCAGGTCGTAGGACTCCCCCTAAGCATATCACCTCCTATAAGCATTTCCTCAAGGCATCTTTGATGACACTCCAAAGGGCAACCAGCAGAACTCCTCGTCTGCTCTGAGACCTGATAGTCACCAGCAATTTCCAGAAATTCCAAATTGTACTATGCTGTGCACTACTAAAGAGGCAGAAAAATAAGGTATATTTTCAAACCAGTCATCACTATGGGCACCTAAGTTCAGTCCTGTGGGAACCTCTGGGAGATAGTGCAGATGATGTGTCTAAGTTAGCCTACCTTCGTAGGGAGGGAGCTGGGGTATTTATCCTCCAACTGCTATTCATTGATTGAGGACATTCCTGGAAGGCTTTAAGTCCTGGCACTTGTAGGCAGGTTAGGTTCCAGCAGCTGGAGAAGGCCCCCAAGCCAAGAGACACAGGTGCTGACACAGGTGCTGGCAGCTGGAAGGCTGGCTACCTTTGTACACGGAAGTATAAGGCTGAGGGCTATGGGCGGGGCACTGACAATGCCAGCCTCCCAGCCTCCCAACACCCACTCAGTCCCATTAATGAGTAGATCCTCAGTCAAGCAGCTGGTTAGACCCAGGAGCCAGCGAGATTTGGCCCCAAAGCTAAGGCTCCTGTTTGTTCTCCAGCACCCCCCAAGTGCTGCCATCAGCTCCTAGTTTAGGATCAAACCCAGAAGCCCATCACCCCTCACCTGTTCTCAAAGTGTAATATCTCTGGACCAGCCAGCGGTATCGATATCACCTGGGGTCTCATTAGAACTATGAATTCTTAGATTCTACTCCAGACCTATTGAATCAGGAACTCCGAGGATGGGGACCAGGAATCTATATATTTTTTTAATGCCAGAGGACACATGTACACCAGAGAGAGATAGAGAGAGCCTCCCCATGGGGCCTATGTCATGCCTCAATCCGCTTTCCTTCGTTCCTCCCTCCCATCAGGATATAGGGCACATACCCAGCAGGCTTTTCAAAGCACTTATGTCAGGATTCGAACTGTGATCAGCCATGAAGGGTCTAACTACGTTCCCAGAGTGCTTCAGCACTGAGCTAGGGGGCCAACCCAGATATCTGTGTTTTTTGTTTGTTTGCTTGTTTGCTTACTGTTTTTTTTTTTTTTTAAGAGGTTTTTGCTATAGGGCGCGTGCACTCACCAGAAAGACAGAGACAGAGAGACAGAAAGCGAGAAATCACCCCCCAGGGGGGATGGCCACACCGCAATCCCTTCTCCTCCATTCTCCTCTTGGGATCTGGGGCACACATGCACACGCTCCCGGCATGAGTTTAAGTCACTGGGTCCAGGACTTGAACCACAGTCGACTATGTGGGAGTACAGCGATATAGCCATTACATCAACTGCTGGTCCTGGTATCAGTGTTTTAATCGCCTTCTAGTTGGGATCCACTGTTTCAAACTCTCTAACTGTAAACAACTATGAAACAAAGCTATTCGCTCTTTGGGTAGAATACCCCCCGCCCACAACCTGAAGCATCAGAGGAAAGAGGGGAAGAATCTCTAGAAACATCTTATCCTTTGCCCCTTCTGTGGGTTTTTCTTTTCTTTTTAGGCTAAATGGTATCTAATCATCAATAACCGACAATGAAAAGTAGCCCAGGCAGGTAGACTAGAGAAGACACCCTAAAAGACATCTGTGTTGGATTTAATTGTGGGGTGGGGGGCAGATTTATGCTTGTTTTCCTGGGCTGATATTTAACTTCTTTTGTTTGCCTTGAGGCCACACCAGGTGGGCAGTAGAAGAAAACGCGGCCTCCAATGTTAAATCAATCATACAATACGTGTGTAAGAGCTGAGGTAACACAAGAATCGATTTGTGGGTCCTGGTATCAGTGTTTTAATCGCCTTCTAGTTGGGATCCACTGTTTCAAACTCTCTAACTGTAAACAACTATGAAACAAAGCTATTCGCTCTTTGGGTAGAATACCCCCCGCCCACAACCTGAAGCATCAGAGGAAAGAGGGGAAGAATCTCTAGAAACATCTTATCCTTTGCCCCTTCTGTGGGTTTTTCTTTTCTTTTTAGGCTAAATGGTATCTAATCATCAATAACCGACAATGAAAAGTAGCCCAGGCAGGTAGACTAGAGAAGACACCCTAAAAGACATCTGTGTTGGATTTAATTGTGGGGTGGGGGGCAGATTTATGCTTGTTTTCCTGGGCTGATATTTAACTTCTTTTGTTTGCCTTGAGGCCACACCAGGTGGGCAGTAGAAGAAAACGCGGCCTCCAATGTTAAATCAATCATACAATACGTGTGTAAGAGCTGAGGTAACACAAGAATCGATTTGTGTGGGAAACTGAGTCAATGACGGGCTTGTGTAACCCAGCCGACCCAGCCAGGTGGGGGTGGTTCTGTAGCTTCCCTGGGCTGACATTCTCTACATGGGCAACTCCTCCTTGCTCCTCCACCACGGTGCTGAACCTGGCACACGGACGTGCCCATTTCTTCTGGAAGGGCCGTCTCTCCTGTGGCCATGGCAGTCCTTCCTGTGGGGCCACCCTAGTGGTGACATCACAATGTAGTTCATTCAAGATCTTGGGACTGACTTGCCACATGGACCCAGGACCCAAGCGCACCCTCCTGGGGCCGGCCTGCAGTTACCCATCCACACAGCCTGCCCACCCAGCTGCCACCCAGCTGTCCAATCAGGTGTGCCCGGTGAGTGCTGGGGGGGCCTGAGGCCTTGCAAGCACCGTGGGAGGGGCTCCAGCCAATAGCTGGCTGGCTTTGGGGGTCTCCTCCTCATGGCAGGATTGGATGGGTCAGCTGGGGGCCAGAAATGTGCCAGGACAAGCCCCAGACTTTTTCTAGGAAGGGGACTCACAGGAGCACACCCCCTGCCTTCGGGCTCTTCCTGCTGGGCAATGTCTGTAGGAGGCGGAGCTCTGGCCACCTCCCAGGCTCTGTTTGCTGCCTGTGTCAGCTCCCCAGGCAAAGGTCACCTGTGATCTTTTTTTTTTTTTTAAATTTTAAGTTTATTTATTTATTTCCTCCATGAGAGGGAGAGAGACCCCTAACAGTGTCTTCCTGCTGTGACCCACGCCAGCCTCAGCCAGGCAGGGTCACAGGAGCACCAATGAGTGCCCAGTGTACACGGGGAGACCTCAGGTTTCAAACCCAGGACCTTGCCATGTGGTCCCAGCGTTGTGGAGCATTGTGTTACCTCTGTGCCACTGTGGCTGCCGGCCCGTGTTCCTGACCTGCGCTGTGGGCGGACAGGCCAGGCTCTTAGACAGCAAGTACATTCGAGCGCTCCTCCCAGCCCTCACCGAGGCCACAGGCAGCCCTTGGCCAAACAATACAGCTCACAGCCACGTGAGCCAAAGCAGCTCCCAGGTGCCACAGAGACCCCGGAGTCACCTCCCTGCCGCTCGGGCACCCAGCCCCTTTCTGTAGACTGCCTTCTCACTTCAACAGCTTCTGAATCCAGCTCCCAGAGACCCTCCTGTGTATCACATCTCACCCTTTCCTTTGGGGATAGTAGGAGAGCTTAGGGATGAGCCCAGGAAGTGGGTAGATGGATTAGAACGCTAAGAAAATGGCAAAATTGGAGCAGGCCGTGGGGACAGGGCAGGGTCCACACTGTCACAGTGAGAGGATGTTGGCCTCTCCCAGCTGCCACCAGCAGTTGGTTGAGGGTGGTGTTGTGCTCGCTTCGGCAGCACATATACTAAAATTGGAGGGTGGTGTGAGGTTCAAGGGCCTCTGCCATGAATAGTGAGACCCCCTTGGGGCACTGAGAGGGAGAGCCAGCCTCCCGCCATGGCCTCTTCTAGCCGTCCCATACAGGTCAGCCCATGGCATCAGCATCCAGATGAGCTGTTTGCCACCTGCCAAGTGCCAGCAGGTCTGGCTGGTGCCCTTGTATCTATCTCCTTACTGCACGTGCAGATTTTCTGGGGACCCCGTGATTTTGAGAAGGAGCCCATCTCAATCTGCCTGGACAAGGCAGAAAGAGAGGCAGGGTGGATGAAATCGTTTGCCTTTAGGTTTTTGCCATCCCTCCTGTGTCTTATATGGGGTGGGGTGGGACCGATCTCTACTTCACACAGTGGAGTCCATGTGGCCAGTGGTTCACCAGGCAAGCTGCAAGCTTTAGCTCGGTCTTAGGCCCTCCCTAAAAGAAAGAACAGTACAGGGCCAGAGCTTGAGGGGCCTGGCCCGACCTGTGACAGCCCTCTTCTGGAGAGGGGGAGGAGTCAGAACTGCACTGTGTGCGGACAGCTCCCCGCATCATTGTTCTCAGCTCTGGCCCTGCTCTGTGAGGTAGGTGTCCTTGTGCCCATTTTACAGATACAGAAACTGAGGACTGTATTCTGTGCTGGATGCTGTGTTTAAAGAGAGACATTAGCCTGGAATATATGTATTCACTCTATATCAACTGTCCCCCACACTAGGGCACTCTGGAAGTAGCTAGGTGCTTTGGGAGGCAGTGAGAGCCTGCAGGCAAACCAAGGCTTCTGTTGGCACAACTAGGGCTGGTTTCTTGCGGTCAGTTGGCAGCTCAACCAAAGGTCTTTAAAGGTATTTTCCAAAACCAAGATTGTAGGATTCTAAGTCTCAAGACCTTGTTCAGTCTCTATGGTTGAACCAGGTGCTTGAACCTCCTAAGGCTGCTGAGAACTTATGGGAGGTGGAGAGAGCTGGGAGGAACCATAGAGATCAGCTGACTGGCTTGCTGGGTCTCTGGTCGGAAACAGCTTAGGCTGGTTAAAGGAGTTGCCCAAGGTTGTGTGCCCAATTCCTAGAGTTTATATGTGTCAAACAAATTACTAGAAGGCCCAGGCCTGAGTGCACATCAAACGTCTCTCTTCATTTTTCTAAAACTCTTTCTTATCACAATTATGATTCAGCCACCATTTATAAAGCACTTACTGTATGCTAAATGTGTTCCCAAAGATTATTTCACATCCTTTCACCCTAACCCCATCATCCTCATTGCTCAGATGAGGATGGTGAGGTAACACCCCAGAGATTAGGGCACTTGCCAAGCTGTCCCAAACAGTAAGTGACAAAGCAGGTCCCTCTGAACCAAGGAGAACGTGTGTCTCCATCCATCACCTCCCAGCTTGTGCAAAGAAGCATTTTCTCTTCTCATCCTTTCCCTAAAAGAACTGCCATGGCCTGCCGGGTTCCCTGGGAGCTATTTTAAGCCCGTCCTGGCTCTATCCTGGCTGATGTTGGGCTCCCTGTGGGCCCGCCTGGTTCACTGCCCAGGACGAGATGGAGCGACTGTTTCTACACCACAGATGTTATGCGCGAGGAAGAAAATGTGCTAATCAAAACCAGCTTCTGCTAATTGAGGCAATTTCCCTTCTGCGTACTGCTCTGAAATAGTAGCCATGCTTTGCTCTTTTTTTCATGTCAGGGAGCCCCAAACTGGCAGCTTAAATGAGGTTGCAAAGTCAGTTAAACAGCCCTCTCTGCTGCCAGTTACCTCAGACGAGGCCTCAATTCTACTCGTTGGGTAAGACCTGGTTCAACTGTGCATGGACTTGGCTTCATGGACCCTCTATTCAGCTGGGAAAACCTCATTTACCTCTGGGGAAAAACTGGAACCTCAAGGGATCTAATGAAGTATCAAGCCCATGGGCTGACCTTGAACTCCAGTCCTAGTCTACTTCTAACTGGTTCTAGTGCCCATGCTTTCTAATCAAACTCACTTTCTTTTTTTTGGAGAGGTTTTTGCTACAGGGCGTGTGCGCTCATCAGAAAGACAGAGAGAGACAGAGAGACAGAAAGCGAGATATCACCCCCCAGGGGAGATGGCCACACCACAGTCCCTTCTCTTCCATTCTCCTCTCAGGATCTTGGGCACGCACGCACACGCACCCGGTGTGTTTAAGCCACCAGGTCCGGGACTCGAACCATGGTCCACTAACATGGGAGTTCAGTGACATAGCCATTATGCTAACTGCTGGTCCCTCTAATCAAACTTTCTAAGATGATGGACGTGTTCTATATCCACGCCATCCAATATGGCGGCCATGAGCCTCACATGGCCTCTGACCACTTGAAATGTGTCTAATGAGACTGAGGAACTGTATTTTTTATTTTAAGTTTAGATTACATCACCATGTGTGGCTAGGGCTGCTAAACTAGATAGAGCAACTCTAGCACCTGCCAACTTTGGGGACTTCATCTCTGCGTTCATCTTCCCTGACCCCCCAAGGTTCCCTTTCTCTTTGCATGCACCTCTCACACATCTGCACATTTTTTTTTTAATATTTAAAAAAACATATTTTGCCAAAGCATGCTGGCATTCACCAGATAAAGATATAAAGTTGAGGAGAGGGAGAAAGCACCCCCCAGTGGACTGTGGTCACGCTGCAGTTCCTTCTCCTGCATTTCTCCATCCTCTTGGGATTTGGGGCATGCGCCTGACATGGTTTTCAAACCACCAGATCTAAGACTTGAACCATGCAGTTGGTCATGTAGGATCTGGCTCCCTTAGCCACGAGGACATGGGGCTGCCCTGCAGTTTCTTCCCCTAAGTTTACTTAATTATTCCTCCCATGAAACAGAGAGAGAGAGAGGGAGAGAGAGAGGAGACATTCCCCAACAGAGTCTTTATGCCACATTCACCCCAGCTTCGGTCAGCCCAGATCATGGGTACGTGTGCACACACCCAGTGTATAGTGGAATGCCTGAGGATGTGAACCTAGAACCTTTCCATGTGGGCCCAGTTGTGTTACCTCTGTTCCACCATCTAGTCATCCTGCACTTTTTGATTTTTGCATTTGTTGTTTCTCTGCCCGCATCACTTTGGATCTGATCCTTTTGTGGCCTGCCCCTATACAACCTGAGGATCTCAGGTCTAGTGTGTTTCCTCAGAGAGACTTTCTATATTTTACCTAATACAAGAGGACTTCAGAAAGTTCATGAAAAAAAAATAGAATTAAAAGATTTATTTTTATGAAAAGAGTTTGAAATCCATCCATAGTTTTTTATTTTTTATAAATTTAATTTTCCATAAGCTTTTGAAGACCCCTTGCATTTCCCCCATCCCCATTCCAAATTGCTTCCATCGCTCTGAAGTTACAACATTTGTGTGTTTTCTTGTCTGTTGCCATATCTCCAGATAAGAATGTCAGTTTCACCAGAGCAGGAA